AAGGGACAGTTTGCTTTTGTTATTTTTTAAAAAATCTTTTACAATTATTCTTGCTGATTCGAATTGTCTTTCAATATCTTCAGAAAGAGTTTGAGAGCAGGGGATTTTATAATGCGGGTCAAGAGTAGAAATGAAGTTACTGAAGGAATTGTCTTCTATGGTTGATAAAGGTTGATTCCTAATTACAATCCATCGCAATAAGTTGCAATTTAATAACTTTACGCGACGTTCTTTAGCAATTGAGTTTAAGGAATTTTCACACGTATCGCAGAGATTAAAAGTTTCAAGGCTATCAAATTCGCTGAGATATTCATAAGCCCGTCTTTTTTTTGATTGAACCATAAGAGAATGTTGGGAGGACAAGGCAGAAGAATTTCCAGACAAGTGAGATGACATTATCAATTTTTAGAGATAACGAAGTAACGAATAAGCAAATTGGTGGAAGAAAGAGAATTTATGTAATTAACTATTTTTTTAATTCTAATAGGCGAATTAGTGGAAGAAAGAGAATTTATGCGATTATTTTTTTTTTAATTCGAATAGACGAATTAATGAACAGGCAAAGGAAGGAGTGTGGCTTTATATAATAGTTTGAGAAGGTATATGATTAACCTTTTATTAATATTATTTATCCTTTAACATTTTATAAACAGTGATACACTGCATTTCAAATTAAATCAATAATTGAAGGTGCGATTACTGTAAAATCGCGAAATAATGTACGCCAAATGCATGTTATTCTGAGTATCTGCACGCTTTTTAAGGTATGTACAGACGCGTTATTTGAAGCAATTAGTCAATTTCCAAGTTTGACTATTAACTTATTGATCATTATTGGGATTATTTTTAGATAAAGGTCCTAATTGGGTATGATTATTTATAGTTGGTGTGTAACTTTCACCAATACTACTTAAATGGTTAGGCGCTGATGATTTTTTTGTTTAGGTAGAAGTTGCATAAATGAAAAGTATTTATTGGAATTTAGAATCGTTAATTATTTGTTGCATTGTAGCTTCAGGATTAACAAACAGTCTGCAATTATCAACGTTTAATTCACCATCGCATTTTGGTTTATCGCGATTGCAAATACCCTATTGATCGTTCAAGTGATGATCATCACTGCCAATTGCGATTGTATTTGTGTTGTAGTGAATGCTTCTACTACGCTTAAGAGCATCAAATGATCTTTTATATGAAAATAATAAATCAGATCAAATTTTTGATATAATATAAGCACTTATTTTCATCACAATCAATCGATTGTGTTGATGATCATTACTTGGATGATCAATGGGATACAGAATTTTGCAGGCATAATTGTATGGATTTTCTTGTTTAGATGAAAGCTGCATAAATAATGGTATGTAATTAGAATTTAGAATCGTTAATTATTGTAGCTTATTACTAAACCAGAGATTAACGAACAGGCTATGATTACAGCGCTTAGTCCATCTTCACACTTTTTTCAGCACTACTTAAATGGTTAAGTGCAAGTGTGATTTTCTTGTTTAGGTGAAAGCTGCATAAATAAAAGGTATATAATGGAATTTAGAATCGTTAATTATTGCATCTTATTACTAAACCAGGATTAACGAACAGGCTATGATTATAGCGCTCAGTCCACTTTTGCACTTTTTTTCAACACTACTTAAATGGTTAAGTGCAGGCATGATTTTCTTGTTTAGATGAAAGCTGCATAAATAAAAGGTATGTAATGGAATTTAGAATTGTTAATTATTGCAGCTTATTACTAAACCAGGATTAACGAACATGCTATGATTACAGCGCTTAGTCCATCTTCGCACTTGTTTTCAGCACTACTTAAATGGTTAAGTGCAGGCGTGATTTTCTTGTTTAGGTGAAAGCTGCATAAATAAAAGGTATGTAATTGGAATTTAGAATCGTTAATTATTGCTACAATCATCAACGTTCAGCTCACCATCGCACTTTTTTTCAACACTAGATGAAAGCTACATAAATAAAGGTATGTAATTGGAATTTAGAATCGTTAATTATTGCAGCTTTATTATTAAACTGGGGATTAACGAACAGGCTATGATCATCGGCATTCAGTTTCCCCATCGCACTTTTTTTCAACACTAGGTGAAAGTTGTATAAATAAAGGTATGTAATTGGAATTTAGAATCGTTAATTATTGCAGCTTTATTATTTAAATAGGGATTAATGAACAGGCTATGATCATCAGTATTCAGTTCTCTCATCGCACTTTTTTTCAACACTAGATGAAAGTTGCATAAATAAAGGTATGTAATTGGAATTTAGAATCATTAATTATTGCAGCTTTATTATTAAACTGGGGATTAAAGAACAGGCTACGATCATCGGTGTTCAGTTCCTCCATCGCACTTTTTTTCAACACTAGGTGAAAGTTGCATAAATAAAGGTATGTAATTGGAATTTAGAATCGTTAATTATTGCAGCTTTATTATTTAACTGGGGATTAACGAACAGGCTATGATTATCAATGTTCAGTTCCCCATCGCACTTGTTTCAACACTAAGTGCCAGCATGATTGTATGGATTTTCTTGTTTAAGTAAAGTTGCATAAATAAAAGGTATGTAATTGGAATTTCACATTATTTACTCAACCTGATTGATCATAAAGATTCAATCCCAAGACAAATGTTGTTACCATATTATCGCCCACCTGCACGTTATTTTGAACTTATGCATGTTATTTGTATGGGCGTTATCTTGAGACAAAAGATAACAAATAAGGGTAGCTTTGCTAATAATTAATTTATTCAAATATAAATTTTTCAGATAGGGTGCGCATTATTTCGGAATGCACATAAGTGTTATTTTGGAACCATTTATGCTATTCTCGTCACCAGAGCCGGTGCATTCACAAAGAATTTTATTATAATTTTAAGATTTACCTGTTTTACATATTATTCTTTTTAAATTAGCATTAAAAAAAAAACTCAGGTTTAATTGGCTTGCATTACAAAATTTTATATAATAATTGTAATAATAAAGTTTTATTTATTTTTTATCAAACATATATTTAAAAAAAATAAAAAATTCGAATATAAAAGTTGCTCATTTTTCATCATCTACCTTCGATCCATAAGTTAAAAAATAAATAAATAAAATTGTCTCATCTCTTTTCAATATTGATCTAATCTATTAACACTATGTTTGCTAAAACAATCGAATCTTATTTTAATAACACACAAAATTCTTCTAAAAGCGTTAATAATCAGAACCAAACTATCAAAAAATTGAAAAATAAACGAAAAAGAAATCCCGCACCTATTTACAATTATCTTGAGACGCTTGAAGATGGCATTTGTATTTGTAAAGTTTGTGATAAAGATAAAGATGTTGTAGGTAAATGGGGTCCACTCACGTTGTTAACGCCAATAACACGCCACTTTGAACAAAACATCCAAATACTTTTAAAGTATTTGGAAAATCTGCAAAATTTGTTCGCCCTTCTCCGTATTCAATGGCTGATAAGAATCACGTAGAATTGTTAGACTGTAATCTATTGGAGTTCATTATTATTAGTCAACAGCCTTTTTCTCTCTTGGAAGAAAAATGTTTTGTTAAATTTGTTTCCGACCTTGACCCATGTTACAAGATCCCCTATCATCAATCCATGTCTGAAAATATTAAAAAACTATTCGAGTTAGAAAAAATAAAAATAAAAGACCTTTTAAAAAATAATAAAAGTAAATTAGCCCTTACCCTAGATGTATGGACTGCATGTACTTAGCAGCCCTTTCTTGGAGTCACCGTCCATTGGGTCGACGTCAAGTGGACATTGTATACTATTCTTCTCGACTTTATTCCTTTACATAATGCTCATACTGGTGATTACCTTGGAGAAAAGATCCTTGAACTTGTAAAGGACTTTGATATTGAAGAAAAGATAATCGGGTTCACAGGCGATAATACGTCTAATAACCAAACTTGTCTGCGTTATCTTCAGCAACATATGAACTCTGAACTTATATATGTGCGTTGTGCAGCATATGTTCTGAACCTCGTAGTAAAAAAAGGTCAAAAACTATATTTAAATCAGATAAAAAAAATGCGACATCTGTGTAATAAAATTAGGAATTCGCCATTGCTCTTAGAGGATATTAAAAAAATATCTGCCATCCTAGATCGTCCACCTCTTTATCCTGAGCTCAACGTTGATACAAGGTGAAATTCTACCTACCTTATGCTTGAATGATTTGTTGAAATTAAGGATGTTATTAATGGTCTTGTACAATCACATCCTAATTTGAAAAGTGAATATTTAGAACAAAAGGACTAGGATATAATTAAAGACGTGTTAAATTTTCTTCAGCCTTTTTATAAGGCGACATTAATACTTTCAAATGTCTCATTACCTTCCCATGGGTCTCTACGAATAATCATTCAAGATCTCTTTGCTCATCTAAATTATTCGATTTTAAATAATACATATTGTGAAATGGCAAAAGGAATGAAAATAAAGTTGGAAAATTATTGGTCTCACCTTTTACAATCTTCTATGATTCCTGCACTCCTTGATCCGTCAACTAAACTCGAAACCTTTAACGAAGAGGAATGCCAGTTATCTATAAACCAGTTGAGAATTTTATGTTCAATGTATAACATTGATAAGGTGGTTATGTTACCTAAACAAGGATGTTTATTAGATAGTTTTCGTAAACTAATTCAAACAAACAAAAATGAAAATGAAAATTTAAGAGATTTAACGAATGAAATAGGCACTTATCTTGCAATACCCTCAGAGCCTGATATGAGTCCACTAATGTGGTAGAAGTAACATTCTTCTCGTTTTCCAACTATAGCTTCTGTCGCAGCAGATTACTATGCACTTCAAGTTACAAGCATTCCGTGTGAATGTGCCTTTTCCGTTGCGAATCATACAATTAATCTTACATGAAACCATCTTCTCGAACAATCGACTAGAGCTTCCTTGTGCTTAAAAAATTGGTTGAAAGCTGGTGTTTTAGAATGAATAAAAAACATGTATATAATCAGTATATATTACGTATAACTTATTATGAATATTATGAATAAAAAAATTACAAATAAAATTTTTAAGTTGCATTTTACTGATATTTCACATGATTTCACATGACATGATGAGTTTGGTTCAAGTCTGACTCGGAGCCGAGTCTAAATTGAGACTTGACTTATGGAGTCGAGTCGAACCGAACCGAACTTTTAACATCCCTACACATACACATTCTATTAGCTCGTTTACAACCATTTGTCTATTTTCAGCAGCTTTTTCTGCTTCAGTCCTCTCTGGTTTTTTGATTTCAACTAATTCTCAATGCACATATATTTCAAACCTACTATCTTCAAATATTTGTTGAAATCTTACCCAAGCTTTAGCAGTTAATAGCTTATTAGTACTATAAATATGGTCGTGAAAGATATGCTTACAAGGTAGTAAGTAATGGCGAAAAAAAAGATACTGACAATCTAACGACACCAAACCTGGAGGTTCTTTACCTTTTTCTAATTTTTTTTCAACAGCAAGAATCTCATCAACAACCATTCTTTGAATGGGATAGGGAAGTTTGTAAATTTTATCAAGAATTTCATGATTAATTTCAACTATTGATATTTTTTTAGTATGAAATTCGAAAGCCACATATTTCGAATCTGATCATTTTTTTGTATCAAGTGTTACAATTTTATTGCATACGCCAATCAGACCATGATGGGAGGAAGTCATTCGCTTTAATTCACTATGATATGATTCCAGAGGGTTGGTGGAAGTCATTTGCAAGAGAAGTAGTGAATGCTGGTGAGCCCAAAGGGCCCACCGGTGAGTATTTTTGGCATAATTTCGTTTTATATATCTTTTTATAGCGGGAACAGGGCAGTTTGCAACTGCTTGTTTGATAGTTTCCTTGCAGCTGATCATTGTTCACTTATGCATAGCATGAATCATTTCATTTTAGGTTTTTACTTCATACATCTTACTTAACCAGGTTCGCATAACATGTATAGTATAGTAAATAACATCGCATTCCTGCTCACCCACTCGAAGACCCGGGAAAGCCAACTTGACAGCATTGAATTTGACATTGCTTTGATCAATAAGAATGTATTGAGACATCCAATAGCATTCAAAATACCTTATGATTTTTAATGCTTCTGCGACTGTATTACTTTTCTTATTATTTATATAAAAATAGGAACCAACGTTCCAACATCCATAGCTATCGTGAATATACAAGGTGAATAAGCACCAATCATGTTTGTTGGTCTTGTGAGTAGAATCAAGAAGTATAAGCCATCCAAAATGTCTAAGTTTTTCTAATTAGCTATTATGTGCGAAAACGAAACCACAGGTATGTTTGCTTGTGATTTCATAACGTTTAACCTGATACCCATAGTTTTCTAAAAAAGAAACTGACTCTCAGATGTTCAACTCTAGTCTTGAACTACCAATAAGGGGGCCTCCTGGGAACCTTGAACTTTATATTATATATTGGTAACCTCCTTGCACCTTAATTTTTTTAGGCTTTCTCCAAGACCTAATTTCTCAGTTCCATATTCTTTGACAGCATCAACTATTGCTGAAGGTGGATAGTTTTTTACAGCTCCCCTCTCAACTAAAACCCAAACTGCCTCTGATCATTTAAGTCTTTTATTATTCTCTAATGTATGCATATAATCAGGCAAATCTTTATACCATTCTACCTGAACTTTCATTTCTATAACAATTCTAAAGACTTTAATTTTGGTGGTGCATAAATTCTCAGGTCGAACCTTAGTTTTTCTGCACTTTTCATCTGGTATACCTTTTTTTTGTATACTTGATAGATAAAGTTTGGTGAACCGGCAGTTATACATTCTCCATGAATTTCTATTTATATGGTTCTTATAATTATATTGAACCCAGACGTTTGAGACTAGAGGCCACCAGTCATTAACAAACTCGTCTAGTCAACCAGTTGATAAATATTAAAAAGAATATTACGCTTCTGGTCAGGGGTTAAGTTTAGATTTGGATTCATAATATCAAAAAGGATTCTTCTTTTAAAAAAAAAAATTTTTTTTTTAAAAAAAAAAGAAACGATTCAAATGAAATATGTAAATATTGTAAACACTATAACACTTTACCTGCTTGGTACCAATCCTGTAATCCTTGGAGAGCGACTCAATGGACAAGTGAAAATGAAAATATTGATAAGATTTTTTTTAAAAAGAAAAAAAAAAGTTTTTTTTTATGAATAAAAGTTTTTTTTTTTAAGAAAAAAGGTTTTTTTTTAAAAAAAAAAAAATTGAAGACACATTCATTGTAGAGTAGTCAGGTTTTTTTTATGAAAAGTTCATTTAAATTTTATTTTAAAAAACTGAGATACGTTCATACGTAGGCAGTCCACTTTAATATAAAAAAGTATACGTAAGTAGACGTTTTACATCAAGTATTCTAGCGAAAAAAGACTCGCGAAACCCGATTAGTGAAAGAAAAAAAAACATTAACGTTAAAAAAAAAAAAAAAGAAAGTATCAAAGTATTGTTTGTAGAAAAAAAAAAAATAGCGGCAGGTTTCACTACAAAGAAA